AATGAAACTTGGTACATAGATCCTTTAGGACTATGCAGAGACTGAATAGTTTCAGGGTAAATAATGTGCATATTAATTACTAATTTGCATAATTAATTTTCAGCTTTTCTACTGATATCTAAAGTACTAATCATCACATTTCAATGAATCTAAAATTATGCAGAGACCCAATTAGTTTTTGGTAAATATCTGTGCATATTAATCACCTAATTTGCATAATTAACCAATTTCCAACTTTCACACTGATATCTCGGGTACTATCGGTAATCATCACACATCAATGAATGTTTATACATGGATTCTGTAGGACAATGGACAGACCTGGATATTTGTGGGTTAAAATCTGTACATATTAATTACCCAATTTGCATAATTAACCAATTTTAAGCTTTCACACTGATATCTAAAGTACTAACTTCCATTTTAATGAAACTTAGTACAAAGATGCTCTAGGACAATGTACAAACCTAATTAGTTTGGGGTAAAACTCTGTTCATATTATTTCCCCAATTAGCATAATAATTCATAATTTTTTGGTCCTAATCACATTTCAATTAAACTTGGTACATAGAGTTTTTGTTACATTGCGCAGACCTCATTAGTTTTACAATCAAATCTGTTCATGTTAATTTTCTGATTTGCATAATTAGTTTTCAGCTAAGTAATTTCAAATTATATTTAATGTGTCTCCAATACTCTCAGCACATGGGAGTTCTTTCTAAGCTTTCTTTGATTTAACTAGGCGGCTGGCAAGCAGACTAACACGTTACATAAACTTGTTGAATTACAATTATGGTTTTTATTTTTGCGCCCAATGTCTCGTTATAAAATAAAGGATTTAAATTTTGCAGGGTATTCAGTTTTTTTGCGAACTCTGGGCAAAATACTTTCATGAGCTGTACGTAGTTCACATACAGCCAAAACAAAGTCAGTTTGGACATTAAGTTGTGAGAGGCGACAAAACAAACGCTGCCAGTGATAGATACGTGAATAAAAGAACAAAATAAACGCAATCAAAGACGCCGACCAAATGCTTTGGAAATAAATAGAACACGTTGCTAAGAGGAATCGCACCTGCATCTCGACGATGTCTCCGGTCATGAGCAGGGTTTGCCGCATCTTAGAAAAATTGAAAGTTAACAAGGAATCAGTGTCGGGGAACCATTCACAATGTTTGCATGAAAAATCCCACGTGAAAGCGTTTTTTTTTTTTTCTGTTACAAACACTATGGTACCTGAATCCCGATTAATTCATAAATATGAATCGGTAAGGGTCAATTTCCTGCAATCCTTCAAGATTACATTTGCCTCCGAAAATCTTTCTAACGATGACCTGGAAGATTGCCATGATTGAGTGCCACCATTTCTGTTCTAAGATTTATTCAGTATAATATACAAATGTTCACCCCAACAGAGGTGGACATACAGTTTTAGCGACCCGAAGAGCTCCTTGTCAACCGAGGCGAAGCACTACAATAAAGACTTTCCGTTCCCAATAAATAAGGCTACACCGATTTAATTTTATGGATGACATCCGCGCGCGCATTAGTTTTCGCCTATTCTCAAAAAAAAAAAAAAAAAAAAAAAAAAAAAAAAAAAAAAATCTCCTACAACGAGTCTCCACAGATCGGTTTTCTGTCCGGAACTTGCCGACTCATATTGTCGCAAAGCGCCGACTTGTTGTAAAACTCGTTTTGGATTACCTCAAAACTTCGCTGGTTCCCGGCGTCCTTTGCGAATGGTAGGTACCTTCTTATTTTTTTTTCATTTTCTGATTCGGATAATTTGCTTGCACACACATTCAGTAATATTTTGAACATATGACGCATTTTCATCAAGATTCATGTACATAATTTTCTGCATCCAAATTTTTGTTGACTCTCTGTTGGTGTTTTTTTCCAATATCGAGCCTCTTATAATTTGTTACCGAGTTGAAGTAGTTCTTGAGCATTTGTGTCTACACTTAGTCTATCTAAAAGCTGTAGTTTGAATGTCAAAGAAGTTAATTTCCAGGTTGCTGTTGACAAACTTATTGTTCATTTTTAATTTTTTTTTTTTTCAATACAACACAGTAAGTTTTTCTTTATTATTGAGTTGATGTATATGCCTTTGGCAAAGCTAACATCTGCCTTACCCTATTGTCTTTTCAAAATCAAAGGTGATGATACCTGTGACAGTAATACAGTACGAAATGTGTACATCAGCATGTGCCTCCTACAAATAAAGACTTGTTGTTTTTTTGATACACTGTGGTTAAATTCGTAATAATAGCTTCGTAGTCCTGTGGTTTTAGCAGCATTTTTTTTTGGGGGCCGAATTTTTTTTTTTTCGCCCTCTCGCATTAGTTTTGGGGTCTTCAGAGGATGTCATCCATAAAATTAAATCAGTGTGGCCTAATAAAAAAAAAACTTCTCGTTCCCGACATGAAATTTTTTCGTTTTGCGTGAAAAAACCTGGAAAAAAACCCTGATTTTGACAAAATAATTTAGAAATTGATATTAGAAATAATTCATAACGAAATCTATTCGATATGTACCCATAATTTTTTATCATAATTACTCATTACACACGAATATTACAGAAAAAAATAATTTGCTATATTATCTATATTTGTGCCTTTTATTTGTCTTGAATCGTGACTGTACTCAGATATGCGATTAATCGTCAC